CGTGATCAGAATCTGTAGAGTAAAATCTCATCCACTCTTCTTGGGCGGGCGGGAGAGTGGACGAGAGGTGGATTGGCACTGCAACATCAAAAGCTGGGATGGAATCTTCTCAGACCATAATTGGCATGGCATAGCGAGCTAAAATTTCGGGTAACTTCATCCATATCTTGTGGGCAATATTATCGCTGGCCTGGGCTTGTCCTCCATGAGTTACCACATTGGCCTACCCCTGAATATTGCTATTTTTTACGATTGATCTATCGTTTCTATATTCATAGACCAACCTCCTTAAGGAAGCCTCAGTATACTTATTATGCCAAATAAAGTTCGTAGCAATGCCCATATGCAGTATTGATCCTTGGATGGTGTTTAAGCCAGGGAATCAACCTGGCAGCTGGCGACACTGTCAAGTGGGCACAGCTCCGGCATCGACGAGCTTCAGTTGTTCATATCTGAGTTCCATATACGAATTGTCTGTTCCACAGGGCTTAGTTGCCCGGCTAATGCACAAACAGTATTCCTTGTGCTGTTTGGTAGGTGCCGCTTCGTCTGATGTTGATATTTGCCCAAAATAAGCGTTGCCTGCTGCCACATCCGCCCTCTAGTCCCTCTCTGCTTTTCTCCCTGCTCTGTTTACTCCAAGCAAACATAGACTCGTCTTGTCTCGTCTCCCCCGAATAATTTCTTTCAATCTCTCACCATCTGAGTTTTGTGCCTTTGATCATCGCACCTCAACCGCACTACAACACTAGACGACCACATCAGTCTCAAACACTGTAAGTCTACAAACCCTTCATATGTTCTTCGCCTTGACCCTTTAACTTGGATTCATCCCGGACTCATCGCTCACTCTCATAGCCTAAACAACCGCCACGATGTCCAAGCAAGAGCCTGCAGATCAGGTCAAGTTCCTTGTGTCCTGCATCGGACATACCAGCAACGGTCGAGTAAGTCCAGATCCATCTTTTGTCTCATGTTGCTCTGCTAACAAACCAAGCCTGACTTCCAGGCTGTTGCCGAGGAGCTCAACATTGTTTCCAAGGCCGCTGCGTAAGTCACCCTCCCCCTTCCCCCATCATCAACACTAACCCACGACGCAACAGTCAGAAGCGATACGAGCGAATGCTCAAGGCCCACGGCATCAGCCGTCCTGGTGCTCTCGCCAACGGCAATGGGGCCGACTCTGCCCCCTCAACTCCCAAGCGCAAGGCCAAGGCCGAGGGCGCCGGAAGTGCCAAGAAGCGAGCCACTCCTCGCAAGGCCAAGAAGGAGGAGTCTGAAGACGATGAAGATGTGAAGCCCAAGACCCCTACCAGCAAGAGCAAGGTCAAGAAAGAAGAGGAGAAGGAATCGGCTGATTCTACTGGCTCGCTCTCTGGTATGTGTCCTCGATGTTTCGGTCACGGTAGTTTACTAACCTCGACGATAGATGTGCCTGCTTCCGATGGTTCTTAAGCCCAGATCCAACTACCCAATGCATGGTGATATGAACATTTGGAACAGTAGCATCAGCGTGGGTTTTGTCTTGCCGATCTCATGGACAGCTAGATATCTGATTAGGATGTGACAGCGTATGCGCAAAGTTGGGGTATCAGGATCATGGATCGAGGATAGTCTCAAGAGATGCAAGTAACAACGAAAGAAACGAATCTGTGCTTTCAAATTCACATGATCACACTCAATTATACACACTCGTATATTCGCCTCTTAGTAGTGACTTGAGCTTGCAATGCCTTTTGGTATCAAGGGTGGATGAGCATCCGTCCCATCCACATCTGTTTCTTCTACCTAGCCTCAGCTGCCAAATCGTAAGCACGATATCAGGTACTCACCAGAAATAACATTCGATTGAACATTACATTCAATTAAATTCCTTGCATCCTTAAAGCCACTAATAGAGCCCGACTTTACATTTCCCGCCGTCTGCCAGGCACTGCCAGTGATGGCTTCAAGCCCCACTCCATAAATGCACCTCCTATTGTCACACTTGAGCATTCATTGAACAATAGTAATTCTGCCAGAATTTCCTATTGCAGTTGGGACCGTCAATTAGTGGATGGGGACATGCATGGTCTCCTCTACGCTCATGGGGGGGGATCATCTCTCTTCTCTTCCCTCTCCCACACTCACCATTAGTTCTCACTCTTCCTCCAACACTCATTCTCTCTGCAACAGCGAACTCCATCGCAGGCTTCGTTCCTTTCTTGTTCTTCTTGAAAGACTCAAGACAAATTGAGTGTTGATTCTCTTTCTGTAAGTAAAGTGCTCTTCTTCTGCTACCTCAAGCTCATTCTCTCAAGGCACACTCACCTCAACCTTTGCTTATACCAAAGCACACAACACCTCTGCTTCATCTTCTGAGCTTCGCTACTTGCTGTTCGACAAATCTTCATCATGTTGGGTCCTACTCCAGCCCGTACTCCGCTCTCTTTCACTTTTGAGGACGGCGATTCCCAGTTTGATGCTGAGATGACAATGCCTGATTATGAGCCCATGTCTCCTGTTGTCGCCAATCTTGAGAAGATGGTTGCCAATCGCAAGACCGCTCCCAGTGAAAGCGGCACCACAGCTGAGACTATGAGCTCCGTCGGGCGTGGCATCTCCACCAAGCGTAGCATCTCAAACATGGACAGCACTCCCCCCGAGTCGCCCATTGAGGCTTTCCTCTCCCGGCCCGAGACTCCCAACTACCCTTACAACAACTGGAACTCTACCTCTGCGTTTACCATGCGTAACGGCCAGGTCTATAGCTTTGGTCAGCTCCAGGTGATGTCCCTCCAAGTTGCTGAAGCCAGACGCAACGGAGAACTTCCTCCTACCAACGAGTCTACTCTCGATGCCAATGCTGTTGCTGAAGACTACAATTCGCTCATCTATCTTCGACGCCTTCGTGGTAACCAACTTGCCCCTGCTCCTCAGTCATACTTCCACTTCCGCGAACAAGTTGCACTCGGCATCCAGGTCCGTCAGGCATCTCTCAAGCGTGAGACTGACCAAGAAGTCGCTCGTCGAGTTGACCACTACCTTCAAGCTGTGGAAGCTGAGAAGCGATACTACAACGCTAGTAATACCATACTCAAGCGTCGTGAGGTCACCAACCCTACTCAGCAAGACTTCATCGACCCCCACGATGACATGTGCTCTATGGTCGAGCATACTATCGAGCAGGGCATCTCCGATGCCACTGGACCCCTCCGCATGAACGTTTCTAATCTCAAGAAACAAGGCGAGGTCTTCCAAGAGCAGACTGCCCTTCTGCAGCAGCAGAATGACATGTTCCAGCGACAGACCGAGCAACAAAACAGTCTTGTTCAACAGCAGAGCGGTCTCCTGCGACAGCAAACCGATGTCTTTCAGCACCAGGCTCAGGAGCAAAGCACTCTCTTCCAGCTGCATGCGGACCAGCAGAATGACCTCTTCCTGCAGCAGCACAGCATGTTTCTGAATCACAAAGCTAGCCTTCGGGAACAGAGCCGTTTCTTCAAGAAGCAGAACGACACCCTAGAGCAGCAAAATAGGGTCATGGATGCTTCCGTCACTCACTTGAGTAACCTTATCGAGCCTCAGATCTATAACAACCAGGCTACCGCCCAGACCCTCGCTTCTGCCAACCAGCTTTTCGTCGACTTGTCGAAACAACTCCCCGAGACCATCCGATGCGCTGTTGAGGAAGCTTCCCAAAAACAAGCTCGCGAGCTCATTGAGCAAGCTCTTCAAATCCAGCAGATGGCTATCGCCAACCCGCAGCCGGATGTCAAAACCAACAGCGCTCCGGTTGAAGAGGCCCAGGAAAAGAAGGCTGTCGCTGTTGATTCCGCTAGGGCCGAACGAAGTGAGCGATCATCTCTCTACCGCATGGTGCGCAAGTTCAAGCGCCAGCGCATCTCTTCGTGAATGACTGGAGGGACGAGCAACAGAGTAGTAGCAGACCTCACTGTCTTGGGATGGAATACATTTGATCAGTTTGATGTATGTAGTGACAAGGTCTGATTGACACTTGCTTTGCTCATTGAGTTTGCTGTACTCAAATAGAACTTCGATTGCTTTCGCATTTTGATTAGTCTTAATCAAGACTCTGTTGTTTTATGGAGGTTATATGGTATATCCAATGCGATGATGACTCATGTGACACTTGTCAACATCACGGTTGTTTCTTGACTTCAACTATTCACTGTCCACGTCAGTTTCGATCTCCCCAATCTGAAGGTATTGAGTCGCTGCCCTTGTGGCGTCTTTAGCTTGTGGTTTCTGTCTGGGTTAGTCAATCCTATATTCCTCGCCAAATTGGACGATTGGAAGACATTATAGAGTTAGATGTGACCATGTCGAGTACTACTACTGCGATCTCTGAATGTTGTATTATCTAGTGCCAGTCATCTCATGAGTATAGGGCATCTAATGACACAAATCGTGTAAGCACAGTCTCGGCATCTTCACTTGATCTATCCAGCCAGCTTACACCGTTGAGCCCCATGGAAAACGAGCGAACCCCAGATGGGCCATTTGTCATGCAACATCGGGCAGTGGAGTCGTTCACCGTGGAGCAAAAGAGTCTCGGTCTGGAGATCGAAAGCCGCTCGTGATCCGTCAAAAGCCAGTTCTGTATAGCGTCCTCGGCTACGGCGCCGGTAATAGGAGTTCCAGGCCTTCGAATGCCCCATCTTCAGGCCTTCCAGGGCATTTAGCAGCGAGTCTCACAGACGTCGTTGGAAAGGTGTAGAAATCGTTGGCCGGCGGCGCTAGTACGTATCAGGGCTAGCCTCGCAGCTGGGTTTTGCCGAGACCGACACTCCGAGCGACGGGGACGATTCCATTTTTTTGAGAGCTTCTCAGTCGCCATCATATCAACCTCTCGTCTCCCTCACTCTAACCCTCTCCTCCTCTGAATCTGATTCTGACTCGTCCGTCCTACATCCCCAGGTCGAATTCCTCACGAGCGTTTCTCTTTTTTCTCCTTTGCTTGTAATTCTCCCCATATACCCCTTCCTAATTCCACAATCATGCAGCGCGCATTGAGCACCCGGGCTCGGGCTTCCGTCCTCTCCTCAGCGGCTACCAAGTACCGAGCTGGCAGCCTCAGCCAGCAGGTCCGATTTGCTCACAAGGTATGATGATACTGCGGCGTCACAAGATTCCAATCTCATGCTAATTCACTGTATAGGAGCTCAAGTTCGGTGTTGAGGGCCGTGCTGCTCTCCTCGCTGGTGTCGATACCCTAGCTAAGGCGGTTGCTACTACCCTCGGTCCTAAGGGCCGAAACGTCCTCATTGAGTCCAGCTTTGGATCTCCCAAGATTACCAAGGGTTCGTAGAAGCCTCATTGACCATTCCCAGGCTTTCAACTAACTTATTACAGATGGTGTGACCGTTGCCCGCGCTGTCAGCCTCAAGGACAAGTTCGAGAACCTCGGTGCTAAGCTCCTCCAAGATGTTGCTTCCAAGACCAACGAGGTTGCTGGTGACGGTACCACCACCGCTACTGTTCTCGCCCGTGCCATCTTCTCCGAGACCGTCAAGAACGTCGCCGCTGGCTGCAACCCTATGGACCTCCGCCGCGGTATCCAGGCTGCTGTTGAGGCCGTCGTCGAGTTCCTCCAGAAGAACAAGCGTGATATTACCACCAGCGCTGAGATCGCTCAGGTCGCTACCATCTCCGCCAACGGTGATGTCCACATCGGCCAGATGATTGCCAATGCCATGGAGAAGGTCGGCAAGGAGGGTGTCATCACCTGCAAGGAGGGCAAGACCGTTGCCGATGAGCTCGAAGTCACCGAGGGTATGCGATTCGACCGTGGCTTCGTCTCCCCCTACTTTATCACCGATACCAAGTCCCAGAAGGTCGAGTTTGAGAACCCTCTCATCCTTCTCTCTGAGAAGAAGATCTCTGCTGTTCAGGACATTATCCCTGCTCTTGAGGTCTCTACACAGCAGCGACGACCTCTTGTCATCATTGCTGAGGACATTGAGGGTGAGGCTCTCGCTGTTTGCATTCTGAACAAGCTCCGTGGCCAGCTCCAGGTTGCCGCTGTCAAGGCCCCCGGCTTCGGTGACAACCGCAAGTCCATCCTCGGCGATCTTGCTATCCTCACCGACGGTACTGTCTTCACTGATGAGCTTGATATCAAGCTTGACAAGGCCACCCCTGACATGCTCGGCTCTACCGGTTCTATCACTATAACAAAGGAGGACACCATTGTCCTGAACGGCAGCGGCAGCAAGGACGCCATTGCTCAGCGATGCGAGCAGATCCGTGGCGTCATTGCTGACCCTACCACCTCTGAGTATGAGAAGGAGAAGCTCCAGGAGCGTCTTGCTAAGCTCTCTGGTGGTGTCGCCGTCATCAAGGTTGGTGGCTCCTCCGAGGTTGAGGTCGGCGAGAAGAAGGACCGATTCGTCGATGCCCTGAACGCCACCCGTGCCGCCGTTGAGGAGGGTATCCTGCCCGGTGGTGGTACTGCTCTTATCAAGGCCTCAGCCCACGCTCTTAACGAGGTTCCTACTGCCAACTTCGACCAGCAGCTCGGAGTCAGCATCGTCAAGAACGCCATTACACGCCCTGCCCGAACCATCATCGAGAACGCCGGTCTTGAGAGCTCCGTCGTTGTCGGTAAGCTCACTGACGAGCACGCTGGTGACTTCAACAAGGGTTTCGATAGCTCCAAGGGCGAGTACGTTGACATGATCAACGCCGGTATCCTTGACCCCTTCAAGGTCGTCCGCACTGGTCTCATCGATGCTAGCGGTGTTGCCTCTCTTCTGGGCACCACTGAGGTTGCCATCGTTGATGCCCCCGAGGAGAAGGGAGCTGGTGGTCCTCCTATGGGCGGCATGGGTGGCATGGGAGGAATGGGCGGTATGGGAGGTATGATGTAAAAGACGGAATGATATGACTTTATGTTGTGCTGTATCACTAAAAAAGCTGGACGGATGAATGGCGCACCATGGTTTGCGTGTTATCTTGGGACGGGTAAAGTGGTCTTGCAAGCTCATCTCCTCTCTATCGGTTGTCGGACCACGACATTTGTCTTCATACCCCTTGCGGATTTTCAGGCTAGATTTCGAAGGCCATGTATTATAGCATTGATTGTAGCATTAGCATGAAAAGATATGAGATACTAAAAGTTAAAAAGAGAGGCAAGAATGAAAGACATTGAAACACCTGGTTTCTTATCTTGTATGTGACTTCACATTGGTAGTGCTAGCAAAATGTCAATATGTCTATATTGATGGAGAGAATTGATTGTTTACAATGGGGTCTCTTGTGTAAGGCAAGCTCCGAGTCGCCGAGACAGGGTAGGGGTTTGTTGCGTGAACAGACAAGAGATGACGAGTTACGACAAGGGTGAGTTTCGCGGTCTCAAGAACAGATGCCAACAATAGACGGTTTCGTAAGTGAGAGATACTGTTACATACCAACCCACGCAAGACAAGAGTCTGGTGTAAATACAAACCATGAAATATATCAGTATAAGTCATGTCGTATTCAACTAGATCAGTACCTAATTACTCACCTGCCTGTACCTAGGCGATGTTCTACTGACATACACTCTTGCCCAGTCACGTGAAGCTATCCTTACAGGCAACCCCCCACCAAGACCAAGAGGAGAAGAGTAGGTACCCAAGAGAGGGGAGACTCGACTCAAGTTTCTCCCGCAACGGCCCCGCCTTTCTATGGGACAATACAAGGCAATTCTCTCTTTCTACCGCCTAAACCGAACTAACCCAAGAGATACAACCCACTCACTCTCACGCCCGTTTCCATCGACTTTGTCCTTTTGCTTCGCTTCGCTCTACATCGTGAGACTGTCGATTTTCTCTCCTACACTTCAATCCACTCTGTACGTACGCCGAGAGCCTCTTGCTCTCCTCCACCCTCAACCACAATTTCATCCTCTTACACCCTGTACTTGAGGTCTATAGCTAACTCAGAGCTCCCCGCCAGCCCATCCACCCCTCATCCTAAACATCCCGTCTCCTGACGTAGACCGCAATCATGGTAAGCTTCCCTATAAAGCCGCCAAAAAATACCCTGAATCTAATGATAATCCACAGTCTCAATCCGGGTTCGTCTTGCCGCTCTCTTCTTCAGCTATTTGACCCTCGCGCGCCCATTAAATCCTCACTTCCCCGCGGCTGAGCCTCGCTTCGCTGCTCATCTCCCCTCCCCTTCGACCATGATTATGACGCCTGGCGCGGGGCACAAACACGCAACAGCTACCTAGACAGCATTATTTGAGACAACGGCGCTAACGTTGAGCTTTGCTTTTTCGAAATACAGTGCCACCGTTTCGCAGGACTGCATAACTGCCTTCAACGACCTGAAGCTTAGCAAGAAGTACAAGTACATCGTCTACAAGCTCTCCGACGACTACAAGGAGATCGTTGTCGAGCACGCCTCCGACAACAGTGACTGGGAGGACTTCCGTGAGAAGCTCGTCAACGCTACCTCCAAGAGCCGAACTGTACGCCCGCCAATCCGACAAACGTAGAATGAGGCCGAGTCACCAATTCTAACATCTCTTGTAGGGCGCTGTTGGCAAGGGTCCCCGTTACGCCGTCTACGACTTCGAGTACAGCCTGGCCTCCGGCGATGGTATCCGGTATGCAGTACCCCCCCCCCCCCCCCCCGGCCTGCACGTGGCCCAATTCAATACCCCCAAATCGCTGACAATCGGACAGAAACAAGATCACCTTCATCGCCTGGTCTCCCGATGATGCCGGTATCCAGGTATGTAGATAAGCGATATTGCTTGGCAACGCGTCTCCTTCGGGCACCCACTAACACCCAACTGCAGCCCAAGATGATCTACGCTTCCTCCAAGGAGGCTCTTAAGCGATCGCTCACTGGCATTGCCACCGAGCTCCAGGCCAACGACACTGATGACATCGAATACGACTCCATCCTCAAGACCGTCAGCAAGGGTCTTGCTGGTTAAGCGCGCTGTCACCGACTACCCAATCGCCGCCCGCGCTCCCATATAGAAGCGGGTGGACATGGAATTTGAACATACCTATGGCTGTTTCAAGAGTTGAGACACCAAAACAAGCAAATGAGTAGGAGTGCATAGTGAGGGGGTGGAACAAACGCGTGGAGATCATGACATGTTTCGTTTCCTCCAGGGACGCAAACCAGCGAGTTTGCTTCTGGGGGCGAGACCTGAATTCGCACAATTGCCGACACTGACCATGTATCGTACGTACCTCGGGAAATAAAACCGCATGCTGGTATGTGGCAACTATTGGCATTTTATCATCTATCTATTCGAGTGTCTCTGTCATGCTCTTATTGCTTCTAAACATCGTCGCCTTCTATGGGTTTGCTTGACTCGACTCCCAACTTGATTTGAAAAGCCCAGAGAGACGTTCGGCCTCAGCTTCGTCCTTTAGTCGTTGCATCAAGAATCCTTTCAGGTCACTCCAGAAGGCTCCCGTCTGTAAGGCTTGGGCTCCTACGGGTTGGGCCTCAGGGGTGGCCTCAGGCTCTTCTGGTGGAATAGCAGCGGCGCCTCCAATAACCATTACCGTAAACTCAATAGACATATCCGTCTCGCCTAGTAGATCCTTAAGAATCTTGCTATCAGGGATAGGCTTCTTGTTGTGCAACAACTTAGTCTTAGCGGCGGGTATCCTTGTCTGCTTCTCGATGTTGGCCTTGATGTCCAGGATTGAGGTGTTTAGGGGTTGAGAAGTGAGCTTGATGCTCAGGGGAGGGTTACGAAGCGACTTGAGTGACACAGTGATGCTTCGTTCGGAACCGGGAGCGAGATTGTTGGGTTTACTCATGGCCTTGGGCATGCGGGGGATGATGTACTGGAGCTGGCATTAGCATGTGTTCTGGAGGAAGAGTATGAAGTCCGTACAGGTGGCCGAGCAGGGTAAGTCTTGGGGTCTTCGACATGGTCGGCAGAGAGTCGGATAGGCCGCGACTCCAGCGACGCCAGAAATGTTTGGGCGAAAGCGATTTCAGACATGATGATGGCTTCGTTGTGGTAGACTGTTAACTGGGTCGACGGGGGCGGGGTTGAGCGGCGATAGTGAATGGAGGGGAGAGAAAGTTGGAGGATAGTAGAGGGAGTCTTTCGAATTTATAGGGCTCTAGAAGTATAGTGAAGATGCTATGAGTCTCTAACTTGCAATAATGGAAACTGTTCAATAGTTAGTAGGTTCTAGCCAGCTTCATCAACTATCGTCATTGAACACACCCAACAGAGCAAGCTCAAGCTGCCCACCAGCGATTACATAAGGCACTTTTCCCGCGATCCGATACGAAGTTCTGCCGCTTATCCGACCCTGGCAATCGCAGCGCGCGCAGAAAAAAGTTTCGGCGGGGCGCGATCTATTGTAACTTTTCCTAGGCCCAAGAACCAAGACCAGATCTGTTTTGCATTTCGGTCGAACTAATTTCTTGACAACCTTTCAATTGTTGTTCTTTTCACTTCAAAATGGGTGTCGGACGTCGTATGAAGAAGCAGGGTCCTCCTCAACCCCTTTCCGAGGAACACTTTGCAAAACTTAAGCGCAAGGCCGGTCTACCTGTCGATCCCGTCGTCGAGGCGCCCGAGAAGAAGAAGCGAAAGACCAACACAAAGGAGAGGACGGTCACCGAGCCCAAGAGAAATGGCGTCGCCGCTAAGAAGGATGTCAAGAAGACAAAAGTTGCCAAGGCTGCAAAAGCTGCGGCGCCTGCTCCAGAACCAAAGGCCAATGGCAAGGTGAAGAAGAGCAAGAAGGCCCCGACGCCGGCGCCGGCGCCGGAGGACGTGTCCGATGAGGAGATGGACGATGAGTTTGACCTTGAAGATCTCGAGGGCGATTCAGATCTGGAGGGCGGCGCCGGACTTGGCGACGATTTCCTCGGCTCAGACGACGATGATTCTGTATTCGACTCTGACGAAGATGCTGGAGGCAAGAACACGAAGGCTATGTTCTCTGAGGACGAGGACGAGTCCGACGCCGAGGAGAAACTCACAGCCGCCAACATCGCGGGTCTTTCGAGGAAATTGGATGCTCAAATGGCAGAGGAAGCTGCCGAAGCTGAGGCTGAGATGGCACAAGAGGCTCTCCAGACCAACATCCACGGAGACAAGCCTCACATTCTGTCCGACGAAGACAGCGACGATGAGCTCTCAAAGAAGACAAACGCCCTCCTAGCCCCCGACCTGCAACTTTTGCGAACAAGAATCACCGAAACCATCCGCGTCCTCGACGACTTCACCAACCTGTCCGAGGAGGGACGTTCAAGAGTTGAGTATACATCACAACTTATCAAGGATATTTGCTCTTACTATGGCTACTCTGAGTATCTCGCTGAGAAGCTCTTCAACCTCTTCACCCCTCGTGAGGCTTTTGCTTTCTTTGAGGCTAACGAGTCAGCCCGTCCTGTCGTCATTCGCACAAACACTCTGCGCACTCATCGTCGTGATCTTGCCCAGGCTCTTATCAACCGTGGCGTTACTCTAGAGCCCGTCGGAAAGTGGTCCAAGGTTGGCCTCCAGGTCTTCGAGAGTAGCGTACCCCTCGGTGCTACTCCTGAGTATCTTGCCGGCCACTACATCCTCCAAGCTGCCTCCTCTTTCTTGCCCTGCATGGCTCTCGACCCCCAGGAGAACGAGCGCGTGCTTGATATGGCCGCTGCTCCCGGTGGAAAGACTACTTACATGGCTGCTATGATGAAGAACACCGGTATCGTCGTGGCCAACGATCCTAACAAGGCTCGTGCTAAGGGTCTTATCGGTAACATTCACCGTCTTGGAACGCGCAACGTCATTGTCTCAAACTATGATGCCCGTGAGTTCCCCAAGCCTATGGGCGGCTTCGACCGTGTTCTTCTCGATGCTCCCTGCTCTGGAACTGGTGTTATTGCAAAGGATCCTAGTGTCAAGACCAACAAGACAGAGCGCGACTTCATGCAACTCCCCCATATTCAAAAGCAGCTTGTTCTCGCCGCCATCGACTCAGTCAACCATAGCTCCAAGACGGGCGGTTACATTGTTTACTCAACCTGTTCCGTCACCGTCGAGGAGAACGAACAAGTCGTTCAATACGCCCTCTCTCGTCGCCCCAATGTTCGCCTCGTCGATGCTGGCCTCGCATTTGGAAAGGAGGGTTTCACCAGCTACATGGGCAAGAAGTTCGATCCCTCTATGCGCCACACCCGCCGATACTACCCTCATACCTACAACGTGGACGGTTTCTTCGTTGCCAAGTTCCATAAGATCGGCCCCACGCCCGCCAACGCGTCCAACGCTCGTGACCGTTCTACTGGCCCCGCTGATGAAGACGAGGTCATCGACAGAACGCCTATCGCCACAGATGATGAGGAGACAGGCAAGACGAAGCCCGACGACGATTTTGGCGGCTGGGACGAGGAAGAGGATAAGGAGTACATGGAGAAAGGACGAAGGAATGCCATGCGCCGAAGGGGTCTGGATCCTAAAAGTAACAGCAAAAAGGCAAAGAAGGAGAAGGAGATGACGAAGCAGAAGTAGATACCAACTGCTCGACCATTCGCGGGAGTTTCTTTTTCTAAAAATGGGTATGAGTTTGACGACTATTAGTGTTGTTCATGTAGAGGGTTTTTTATATTATACGCTAGATAATAAACAAAAGTGTTTGGAGTCCATTCATATCGCAACAGTTTCAACTGCAAGGAGCATTCTCGTTCTGTTATAGGCATCTCATTTGATATAAAATCTAACTAGACCACAAAAGAAATGAACAAAAGAATGTTGTGGGTAATAAAGCAGGTCGTAAAGTTCATCTCGTCATTAAATAGCCCAGCTTCCCAGCCGTAAGGGGGTTTGCCGCTGGCCGCCATTTTTTTCTATCATTCCCCAGAACCCAAAGCCAGCCCAACCCTTTTTTGCCATATAGTACATGGTCGTCATCAATATCCCTTTGGCGCTGGCAAGAAAAACAAAACCAAATAGTGCAACAAAAATACCAAAAAACCAGACTGAGTCATGTCGACCCAAACCACCCGGGGTATCCAGCCGTAATCCCTTTCATGACCATCAGTTGTTTGTTCCATAAATCGTGTAGGTGACTCTGCCATATTGTGTGTATCCACAACTGCTCGGCATGGTGAGTGTGCGTATTAAAAGTTGTTGCTTAACAGTGATGCCGAAGAAGGGTAAAGAGCCGCGAGGCTCGAGTTTTCTCACATAGCCAAATCGTCAAACTGTGAGACAAGCTCGCGTATCGTCCAACGCCAAGTTTCGCGATCTCTGGATCCTCGGCCGATCCATTTCTCGCACTTCTTCCTCCACCGATCTTCTTCTTCTCGCTGTCGCCTGATGAATTCAGGCCCAACATCAAATTCTTCGCCGACGAGCCACTCATCCTTGATATCGCTAACGCGACCCTGGACGCCCTCATCGTCGGCAGTGTTATCTTCCAAGTCAGGGATATCCTTGAAAACGTCTTCGTCGTCCAGCGCGTCGAAGCCATCCATAGTGTCGCTGGTCTCAGAGGTAGTTTTAGCAGGATTATCAAGTTTAAGCCAGCACATGTTCTGTGGATCAAAAACCATGCCACCGACAACTTGAACGCCCTTGGTCGCGCTAATATTGGTAATGAGTGCAGGACGAGGTGTCGACGTTTCCTTCTCGCGGGTATTGCTTGAGACAACAGCCTGAGTAGGTGTTTGTATAAGGGGTTCAAAAACATTGAGGGCGTTCTCATTGCCTTCCCATCTGTAGGTATCTGCATTGTAGAACATACCATTCACCACTAGTTTTTGTTAGCGATAGTATCAACGCGAGGTCTGGTAAACTGACTCTTCGACTCTTTGCCACTGTTCAAGTTTGAGATTAGGTGTGGCTTGGTCTGTTGTGGTCGCTTGTGCTTTCTCGATCGAATGTTTGACTGAGGGATGGTAGGAGTCAGATTGCCTCGCGATGAGAGGTGAGCGACACGCTGGGAGCTTAGAGGCGTCAACGGGCCACTGCTAGGTACCCGTTGAGCCAGCGCAGTCTCCCGGGCAATTCTACTTGCAGCGGTGTCACGAGCAAAGTGAGGAGTGAAAGATGGTCGAGGGGTAGGAGGGATTGATGGAGACATAGTAGTGTTCCTGTCTGGCAGAACGTTTTGGTACAGCTTGTTACGCAAAGCAACTTTTGGTCCTGAGCTCGTCGGTTGCTTCAGGTACTTCGTCTCGGTTTCTTTAGATGTGGGCAAATCATCAAAGCCGTCCAATTCGTGGCCATCGCCGAAGTTCTTTTTGTTCTTTGGCTTGCTCAGACGCTCCCAAGTATCGGCAGTGGCGCGGTGACGATGGTTCGGACTGGGCGATCGCATTGTCGATCGGGAAAGTGTACGAGAGTTAGGGCGGAGGTCAATAGAACTGATAGAATTGTCTGAATCATGTCGACGGAATCCGCGGGTCTGCTTTGTAGCAACGTGCTGGGACTGTGACTGAGAAGCGCCGGCAGGCAGAAATGGCAGGTGAGACTTGCGGACGGTTGCCGGGCTATCTGTCGCTCCATGTCGCTGACGTTCCGTGGGAGTCTTTGGCCTCACAGCAGACGATGGTCGATTGTTCTCCGACCTTGAAGGAGGTCTCTCATGACGGTAGGAAGGCTGCTTGGCCGGTCCACGAATTGCAGGTAGGGAGCGTTTCTGCTTAAGGAGCTGAGCACTAGTGGTTGTCGGCTCAGTTCGAAGTGAATTTGTAGAGGTGCGAAGATTAACCTCCCTCCTGCGTGGAGTGGGCGGCAGTCCATGAGATGGCGAGGTTGTAGTGGGAGTTGGCAGGCTGACGATAGAGGATTGGGATGAGTGACCCAATCTAGAATGAGAGCGACGAGTGCGCTGCGGGATGGGACCGCCACTCTCAGAGACAGGCTCCAATGATGTTGAGTGTGTTCGCTCATGGTGGTTCAACCGAGGTATCCGAGTTGAATTGAGTGGTTTGTGTGTAAATGTGAGCGACACTGCCGCTTTGGGTCGAGCAGGGCTCGCCGGTCGTGTTTCCTTGACTCTGACGTTCTTGTGTAGAGTGAGCTTGCTCGAATCAAAGACATCTCCTTCGCCGAGGTCAAGACCGTCAAGAAAATCAGGCTTGTCGGCCTCAGCTGCTGGGATCGTCTTTGCGGGTACAATAGGTTCTTCAGAGATGCGGTTGGGCGATCGACTCTTCCGCCTCTGCTGAAGCCTCTCAGTCCAGTTGACAGGCCCTGGGGGAAGGATAAGTCCATCAAAGGTTTCATCCTCACTTTCAGCAGTGATGGAACTTGACACACTTGGGCTAAGCGCAGAAGCCGCCGAGCTTCGGGCAGAGCGAGCGTCTCGTCTGGTCCCACCATATCGAGTGCCCAAGCTTCCTTCTCCCCAGTCCAGATCCTCTGACTGGTTGGAAGGTGTCTTGGGGATCTCCTTTCTGGTGGAAAGTTTAAGTTTTCCGTCTGATGGAAGCTCAAGATCCATCTCGAAATCATCCTCCGGGTTGGAGGTTTTGGCTTCTCTCTGAGGAGTAGGTGGTGTGATAAAAGAAACAGGTTTTGGAAGTAGACGGTTCTTGGAGGCTCTAATAGTATCTCCTCCGTCTCCAAAAAAGTCGTCGTCGTCATCAGCGTCCTTAAATCTATCCAGATTTATGGCGGCAGAAAGACTACTTGTGGCAGACTGAATAGACTGCATGCTTTGTATAGACTGGATTGATTGAGTAGACTCACGTCGGTTGACTTTGTCAAAGGGAGAAGTAGGGGGTGAGTTACCCCAGCTCATAGGGCTAGTATGTGTAGATCCAAAGCTGACATGTCGCGAGGTCTCGGGAGACTTGGGTGGCTCTGGCTTCTTCATCTTCAAGCCCTGTGAAGAGTCAGGGATCTCTAGGTCGTTCTCCCAATCGTCTTGGATGATCTTGCGAATCTTTCGTCCACCGAGACGTTTGATAGTACCTCCCATGAGAGCAGAAGATGGAACATTTGATGGTAATGGGATGCCGGCACTTTGGGCTGCGGCGATGGCATCCAGCGTTGACTTCTCGTCATCTCCCGGGATATGGACATGTTGCTCTTCTTCTCCTTCAAGCTCAGATCTAAATGAAAAGTGGGATGACCCAGAATCGCGTCGTCTTGAAGAAGATGGTCGCGAAGGATTGTTTGTGGCAGTAGATGGGCTGCGGAAGGATAAATCGTCGCCTTCTACCACGAAGTCATCGTCGTCCCAATTCTCTATGTCGGCCTCGATGGGTTGTCTGGGCTTAAGTCGCAAGGGCTCCATGGTAGTGAATGTGCTGCTGTATGTAGTACGCAATCTATATGCTTCGGCCAAAGTTTGGCAAATCGTGTTGGTTGGCCTGGCTGTTGGAGACGCGATGTCAATTGCGTGTAGTCATTATTGTCAATGGCAATTGTTCCCCGCATACAATAGCATATCCTTCAAGCGTGACAATGTGACGTTTGAGGAGAAAGCTGCGTCAAGAAAAGTAGACAAAAAAATCGACGAATCGTAGGAAAGGGCTTCGCGAATGGTGCAGATGCGTTTATAGTCGCTTTGTGCGAATCGCTGATCAAGTATTCAAATGTGTGAGAAGAAGCGAAGCGAAATGTGGTGATAATAGTAACAAAGAAAACCGTCGCCAAGTCGCCGTGTATTGCGAGCGGGTGGACAAACAAAAACCAAGATCGACACAGGAAAGGCTCGTTCGAAGAGGGAAACCGAGTTTGATATCTGTAGGTGAGGATTTTTTTGATGGTCGAGAGGGTGACGTGCGAGACAGGATGCAAAGGTCAGGAATGCGGTCGGCGGTGGATGAGGTGGATTGGTTTGTTTAGTTTGGGCTCTAGGTTTGGTGGGTGACTGAGGTGAGGTGCTCTGTGAATCACACTGCACTCCACTCCCGTCCACTCCAGCTTGGTAGAGAAATGGAAGGCTGGGGGGTAACTCTGAGCGTGGCTGGAGGTGGTCCCCGCTAGCTGTTAAGGGACGTATCCACTGTAGCCATCAGTTGCTGGGCACTGTTTTCGCTAGAGGTGGCTCCACACAGGACACCTGGACAAGTGGTCAGCTCTTGGCTGCTGCGCTATTTAAGCACTACGCCCGAATGCTTACAGGCGCTACACCTGAAAAGGACTCCCCTGGACGGACCAGAATGTGACCAGACCTTTGAAGGAAAATCCGGAGGCAGGTTTGGAGTGGTTACACGTGACCGCTGTTGCACAAACCAGTTTATTAGCTGCGAAAGCAATGCAGGTGGGATTCTTGCTTGTGGAAGCAGAACCGTTTGAAGCGAGTGGAACCGCCCGATTGGCCAAACCTTCACGCGTCATACTCCATAGTCGCGACAAGTCGAAGTTTTCTTCTCAGGACGTCACCAGTTTGCGTTTGGTGGCTGGTTGCTTAAGAGCCAGCTCCGTCAGCTTAATTCAGCTTGTTTTCCAAGCTTTTCGCCTCCATATCTTGTGCCTGGCGTGCCTGGACGATCTTGGGTGATCTCACAAAGCTAAAAACCTGAACACACCCCTGGCTATTATGATGATGATGA